CTGAGGGCACTTGGTGTGTTCAGCTGGAGAAGAGGGGACTGAGGGGAGACCTCCCTGCAGTTCCAACTGCCTGGGCAGGGGCAGAGGAGGGGCAGGACTGAGCTCTGCTCTGGGGGGAGCAGGGACAGCCCCCAGGGAATGGCTGGAGCTGTGTCAGGGCAGGCTCAGGGTGGATCTCAGGGAAAGGTTCTTCCCCCAGAGGGTGGTTGGCACTGAACAGGCTCTCCAGGGCAGTGGGCACAGCCCCAAGGCTGCCAGAGCTGCAGGAGGGTTTGGATGATCCTCTGGGGCACAGGGGGTGACTTCTGGGGATGGGCCTGTGCAGGGCTAAGGGTTGGACTCGATGATGCCTGTGGGTCCCTTCCAGCTCAGCACAGTCTGTGATTCTGTGAAACATGCAGATGTTCTCTTCTGTAGATTCCAGAGGGTCTGATGGAGGAGAGCAATCCCATTATCCCTCCAGTTCATGGTGTGGGCTATGCATTAGCTTTTACACATTCATCCATCAGTCCAGAAACCCAGGAGTAGATTTGCCACACTCATCCAGCAAGCTTGAAAACCCAGCCAGGGGGTGGCTTTGCTTCTCCTGGCTCTTACCATCTGACAGGTAGGAGGCAAGAGCCACATGGTCCAACTGGGATCATCCCTTTGTCTACCAGGGGAGATAACAGGAGGGATTGGGCCCCTTTAAGCTGAGTTGTCTGCCCAGTGACAGTTTCCTCTGTTAGGATGTGCCACACTGGGCTCTGCTGAGCAGGAAACTGGGTCTCCCCAGGAGACACATCCTTGGTTAGAGATCAGTTCAGTCATCGACTGATTTGAGACAAGTTTGTTCAGAACAAAGTTGAAACCAGTAACAGCCAGTGAGAAAGAGAAAACAAGCGGGCTCAGCAGAACAGTGACAGAGGTATTTGACTGCCACAGAGAGGCTTGGACAAGATAAAAAAGATCCGTGGGTGCTGTAACATAAATATTGGCTTTGCAACACCACAGAGTGAGATCATGGCCTGAACAGAAGAGCACAGGGAGCTGTTGGCCAATCCTTATTACCCAGTGTAGCTTTGAAGCTCAAGGTTACACATTTTCTGACTTTTATTTAAGTATATTGTTCATCCCAAATGCTCCTGAACCTTAAGTGGTCCCTTTCCAGCCTGGAAATCTATTAAGCATGGGACATGCCTAGAATTGTCCAAAAAAAAAAATATTTAAAGGAAAACACTCATCACCTAAATTTTATTGCTAGACAAGGTTACAGGACTGAGAAGGGCTTTGAGTTGATCTGGAAAGATGGATTTGTTTTCGCTGCTGTTATTTTTCTTCCCGGGGTTGCTAAGGCGTGTTTCCAAAATGGTAAGGCCGGGAGCTCTCCTTAGAAAAACAAAGCCAGAATATGTATTTAGCTGATGCTGTGATGTGGCCTTCACTCCACGGGTCAGGTCACTGCGGGGGACGTGGAAAGGGACAGCAGCTGGGAAGCAAGAAAGATGAAGATTGGGATCCCAGAGAGAGAAGAACTCTTGGGACTGCTGGAAACTTATGAGAGGATTCTCAGGGGAAGGGCAAAGGTGAGGGAAGTAGCGAGGGGATAATGTCACTCCCTGTCCAATGCGAGGTCCAGGCACCAGTGACTGGGACAGAGGTTGTGGTGACCGTGTGTGCAGATCGGGGTGGCAGCGCTGGGAAGAAACTTCTAGGGCACTTGTGCCTTCGAGAACACTGAAATGTTGGAGACCTTTCCTTCTCTTGGCTTTGGAGACCAAACTGGCTCAGCTGTAACCCCCTTCCTGAGCCCATTTCCAGTAGCATTTCCAACATCCACCCTTTGTTTCCTTTTTTCAGCCTGCAGTGCTCGTCCCTAGCCTGGCCTTGAAGGCAGAAATTATGGAGTGGAATCCTCTGAACCGTTTTTTTTTCTTTCTGCCAAAACTGGGCTCCGTGCCCCTAGAAAAGGGAATTTCCTTTAAGTGCTGTAGAACCCAGGCCAAACCCCACCCCCCTTCCACAGCATGGGTACTCCAACGGGATTGCAACATCCCTTCCTCAGAAATCCCTGCCCATGGAGCGAGAATTTCACACCGGGGCGCTCCGCAGGGGCAGGCAAACACCTGCTGCCAATGGGGACAGAGGTTGTCATCTGTGCCTCTGCATATCAGCTGCTGCGTGGGAATAGAAAGCACATTCCTGCCCCAGCCTGTCCCAGGTCCCAGCTCCCGGACGGGCACCGAGCTCTCATGGGGCTGTGGGTGGCTCTCCTCTGTGCCTTGGTGGCGTCGCTGCTCGGTGGCCTCTATGTCCTGGGGGTGTTCCGGAGACGGAGACCAGATGAGCCACCCCTGGACAAGGGCAGCATTCCCTGGCTGGGCTACCTGCTGGATTTCAGGAAGGACAGTTCAGGGTTTCTAAAAAGGATGCAGAGGAAACACGGGGATGTTTTCACGGTGCTGCTCGGTGGCCGTTACTTCACCTTCGTGATGGACCCCTTCTGCTTCGGCAGCATCGTGAAGGAATCACGGTCTAAACTGGACTTTAGGTCTGTTGCAACTGAGCTGGTCCTGCAGGTTTTTGGCTACAAGCCCACTGAGGACAACCACAACATAGTCCGTGAATCGAGCATGAAGCACCTGATGGGAGACGGGCTGAGCGTCCTGACTCAAACCACCATGGAGAACTTCCAGAAGCTGATGCTTTTCAACCTGCGCCCGGGAGAGGAGAGGCGAGCATGGCAGGAGGAGAACCTCTTCCACTATTGCTACAACATCGTCTTCCGAGCCGGCTACCTGGCTCTGTACGGCTCTGAGCCACACCAGGGGCCAGGAGGCAAGGAGAGGGCTGAGGAGCAAGATCGTGTCCGTTCCAACCACCTGTTCCACGAGTTTCGGAAGTACGACCGCCTCTTCCCTCGCCTGGCCTTCTCTGTGTTGCCTCCCAAGGACAAAAAAGAAGCTGAACGGCTGAAGAGGCTCTTCTGGAGCATGCTGTCCGTGAAAAACGCCTGGCAGAAGGACAATATCAGTGGGTGGATCAGTGACCAGGACAAACTCCTGGCAGAAAACGGTGTCCCCGAGTACATGCGGGATCGTTTCATGTTCATGCTCCTCTGGGCGTCCCAAGGCAACACGGGCCCGACTGCCTTCTGGCTCCTCCTGTACCTGCTGAAGCATCCAGAAGCTCTGGAGGCTGTGAGAGGCGAGGTAGATAAAGTCTTGAGGGAGAATGGGCAGGAAGTGAAGGCAGGGAGCCGACCGGTTACCATCACCAGGGACATGCTGAGCCAGGCTCCTCTTCTGGACAGCGCTCTGGAGGAGACCCTGAGGCTGGTGGCAGCCCCGCTGCTGATCAGAGCAGTCCTGGAGGAGATCAGCCTCAAGACGGGCAGTGGGGCAGAGTACACCCTCCGCAAGGGGGACAGGCTGGCTCTGTTCCCGCACCTCGCCGTGCAGATGAACCCAGACATTCACGACGAGCCCCACAAATTCAAGTACGACCGTTTCGTCAACCCAGACGGCACCAAGAGGGATTTCTACAAAAACGGGAAGAAGCTGAAGTACGTCAACATGCCCTGGGGGGCAGGAGTATCCACCTGCCCCGGGCGGTTCTTCGCCAGCGCCGAAATGAAACTCTTCGTGTTCTTGATGCTGAGCCACTATGACCTGGAGCTGGTGAATGAGCAGGAGGAGATCCCAGGGATAGACATCAGCCGCTGGGGATTCGGGACCATGCAGCCCGTTCACGATGTTCGCTTCAGGTTCCGGCCGCGCTTTTGATTTTGGGAAGCCCCTGCTGTGTTGTGTGTCCCGGTGTTACCTCCGAACGAATCCCGTGGTTATCAGCTCCTGATCTGATGTTTTCTTTGCTTAACATTTATCATGGCTTGTGTTTTTACCTCCTTCTCATGTGTGGCTCCGTGTCTCCAGTTATTGTGGTGTTGGGAAATGTGATAAAAGAGAGGCGAAATGTGCCCTGTGGGGTTATTCCCAGCCCCCCCCCACCCCCCATCCCATCAGCCTGTTGAAAATCCAGGGGAGCACAGGGGCATATTGACAGGTGGGATCCCAAATTCAGGGCTTCCAGGGAACAAGTATTTTGGCCAGGGCTGTCCCAGCAGAGCCATCAGCCCCGTGGTCCTAGCATGAGACCCATGGAGATGTGCAGAAGGATTTCTGTCAAGGGAAGGAAGAGCATTTTGGGATTGCACAGGACTTAAAGTAGGATAGTCTTGGGGAGGATTTAAGTGATTTGGGGAGGAAAATTCAGAGGTAAGGGGATAAAAGGGGCTGGTTGTATATAAAACATGCCATACACTTCCTCCCCCTGATTTGTTTTAGTGTCTTATTAAATTCCTGTCCTTAAATTCGAGCCCCACAAAGGGGCTGTGTGTCCATGGTGCCAGCACTGGCACTGGTGTGAGAACAGTTGTACAAGCAAAAACCGGGCCAAATGAGCTGGGAAATGAGTGCCTTGGGAGGGTGGGGATGAGCTGCTGTGCACCAGCACTGCATTATTTTTTTATCAGCTCCTCACTGACACATTTATTTACTTCTGTTTCTGAAGTATCATTGGCAGGATGGCACCTGCTTGTAGTGAACCCCTGAAAGGTCAGAGGGCAGAAAACATCCTCTCCAGAGACATAAGAATTTCCTTGGAGCATTCAAATTATCATGCCGGTGGTCCCCTTTTTATGTCTGGTGAGACCCTCTAAGGAAGCAGAGATGGGATGTGCTGAGCGAGGAAATACCAACAGCTCCTTCCCATTTCATGTGTAAGAAAAGGTCAGATCTTGCCAATCATCTCGTTTAGCAGATCAGTGGGAGAAGAGCGTTGCCAACATCACCCACAGCCTGCAGTACCATTTTCATGTGCTTATGTGGGTTAGGAGTGCAGGGGGTCACCTGCCTTTCCAGCTCTGCAGCAGGCTGAGCACTCAAGACATCCCCACTCTCCCAGTTTAGACCCCAATCCTCTGCAAATACCCAAGGAGATGGTAAGGGAAAGGATGGAGTGATGGGAAGGGGCTCAAAAACCAAAGTGGGGCATGAGAAAACAACCTCAATCCCTTATGGGCTGCAGCCACTGTGACCTTATAGCCTTCAAACATCTGTTTTATCTGCTGGATCAATGCAAGATAAAAATTTGACCCCTGCAAGCTCTGCTTGGCTTTGTTCCCCCTCAATAATTAGGGTAAATTATTAGTCCTTACAGAAGGTAAATCCTGGCCTTTCCTGTACAGACAGCAGGATTGATTTTAATGCTGACACTAACCTTGGACTTTGGAGATTATGTATCATCAAGGACTGAAACTCAAACATTTTCACAGATATCCAAACATCAAAGGCAGATCCTGCTTCTTTCTGCAGAGGGCAGGGGGATGTTGTAAGTGCACATTGAGGGCAAACTCTCCCAGCCTGCCAGACTGGGCATTAGCCCAGACCTTGTGGTGTGGAAATTCAGGCAGAAACCATCAAGCAGCTGGGGCAGAACCAAGAAAAACCAAAACCACCTGTAACTGCACAGGGCTTGACTGTGACAGTTAATATTCCCATTAGCAATTCCAGCACCTTTTCACAATTTTCATGTTGGCTCTC